ATGTTTGTCTTTCCTTTTCTTCATTTGGTCTCCATTTGACTATGGTGTAACATTCAAACTTGGCTAGGACTATATTAACCTTTGTAAATCCCTTGGAAATTCTAGGGCTAACTGGATGATAAACTTATCTTTTGAAAATGGGTGGCCCCCTATAAATCCAGGGTGCTATACAGTCTTTTGAATCTCTCTATCAAAACAGGATTTTTGTAAAGGCTTACTAAAATTAGTTTTTAGAGATTCTGCTTACCTGTTGGATATCTGTTTTGGGGAGCTGTGTGTGCTCTAGACAGATTATCAGGTTTGTTCCTATTCTGTATTATTGGGACATGGTTAAGGTAAACCTCCTTTAAAACTGTTTTTAAGGTGGCCCTCAATTATAAAGTTTAGCTAAGTAGTAGCATAATATCTCTCTAGGTGTAAGGTTAGACATCTGGCATAAATTTTGAAATATTACAATACATGTGAATTTGGGTTTCTCAAAAATCTCCCTGAATTTGTTCTGGTCTATATTAAGTTTGAGAGGTTCCCTTTGATCTTTCTTTCCAGTAGGTGATTTTTTAAAGCCATCTCTGTTAATAGTAGCTGAGGCTACATATGAAAATGACAGGGGCTGGGGTTGTGGCTCAGTTGTGGAGTGCTCACCTAGCATGTACAAGGCCCTGGGTTCGATCCTCAGCACCACATAAAAATAAATAAATAAAATAAAGGTATTGTGTCCAACTACAATTAGAAATTAAATATTTAAAAAGAAAATGACATACCTTTTATTGATCATTGTAATTTTTTAGTACATAGACTAGTTGATCAATTTTGATGTTACATGCAAACGGACAATTTAAAAAGAACTCTCAATCTCTTTCTGAGACAAAGTCTCAAAATATCTTTCTATCTCAGAATATTATCCTTTAAATAGGTGTCTTTAATTGTCTTTTAGAAAATATGCCCAGTGTATGGAGCAATATACAAGTCTTACAATGTTTCATGGATTATAAATTCAATCAGAGAATTTATGTAATACAATAAATTTCCCACAAAGTTTGTAACATTTATTGTTCAAAACTAACATTTGACTTTAATTTGGAGGACAACCAGTCCTAATAGAGTATTCTCCCAAATCCCACAAACATCCAACAAACAGAAGTAATATATAAGAATCAGCAGTAATCATTACTGATGTCTTAATCAATCAATTTTAGCCTCCAAGGAGAAGTGTCAATTTTGGAATTTAAGTCATTTATTGTTTGACTAAGGATGTATGAATTCGATTCATTAAAAATTGGTCCTTGTTCAAACAGCAACAATTATAAGGTATAAGCTTAATATTTTAATAAGCTCTGTCATGTCAGAATGTAGACAAAAATCTTAGTTTACATCAGCATAACAAAGTCAAGGAAATAGCCTGAAATATCCTAGAATTGATTAGTCTATATATATAGCCAGTACAGTTATACATAAAAATGTTTCTCAATTGTTTTAACTTTCTAAATAATCTGTCTAGATAATGATATAAATATTTCCCTATTTAGGAAGATCCCTTTATCATTAAAGTCTAGAATATAAAGACTTATGTTTTACCCAAAGATGATTTCTTTCTTCTTCGTAGGACCTCCAATGTGTGCTTCCTCTCTGTAGAAGTATCTTCTCCTTTTAGAATATTTCTTAATTACACTTTGGAAGAATTTCTGTAAATCTTACCATCTAAGCAAATTATTGTACCTTGATAAGAAGAAATATCTCAATGAAAATATAGTTAAAGCCCTTGGACATTTCTGTTGACAGAATCATATTTGTTTATAATCTTATAAAATTTTGTACAATAATTTGAGAATTAGAGATTACTTGATGGTTGTATTATCTCTTGAAAGAAAATTTTTTCTAGTAAAATATATTTATCTTAAACATTTGTAACCAAAAAAGCATAGTGTCAGATAAATGCATGTAAAAAAGGTATAAATTATGTGTTTTCTATTGAAAAATGATTGGAAGAAAATAGACTCCTATTAAATAAACAAATAGATATATTTTAATCATCCTATGAATTAAAGAATATAGATTATTTAAATAATTGGAAAAATATGTATTAACAATAAAATGTATAGTTATAATTATCTTATGAAACCACATGCTTCTCAAAATATCTGGTTCTATTTCAACTTATTGTTAACTAGGAGTGCAGTCTAATCTCAAAATTTCTGTGCACATATCTGTCTATATTCTGTACTTACATAGTTAGAAACCAAGAAGAATACAGATATTTCATTGTCATGAGAGGTTGTGAGAAAATTATACTCAGATTGCTGGTCTTTTTTTAAATCACATGATGATCAAATGTACTCTTATAATCTTCAAAAATAAAAACCAAACACAGGCATCACTCATAAATGTAATATTATCTCTGTAACTTTCCTTAATAATACAGCCATAAAGAATTTCTAAGGAAACCTATTGAGGGTTAAAAATCAGATTATTTCTCTTTGAGAACACATTAGGATTAGGGCAGCAACATAAAAGCTTGTGAAACCTGATTTTGCCTGAAAAAGAGATGTCGTATTTAGTTACAATGTATAAAAATTATGAAGGAATCTTATAACAGTTGGGTGCAGGCCTTGTAATTCCTGTGGCCAGCCTGTGTGAGAAAGAAGAATGTTAGAAGCATGGAGGCAGAGCCAGACACATTTCACATGTCGGATTACAGGGTTGAAATCCTGCCAAGGCTTTTGCACCATTTAGTATGTGCTTTTGAGGGCAGTTGTCATGGTGACCAAACAGCTTGGAGCCTGTGGATGTGGCCACTGGGAGCAGCCACCAGCTGCTACTGCCTTGCGAAGCTCCCTCTACCATTTGAGTCCACTTGTTGCCCAAGGCAGGGTCTCGGGAAAGCCTCCAAAGAGCTTCCTCTGTTGGTTGAACTCCGTTGGATTTGTCTGCTTTCCCCTGCATGGAGTCCCTCTATGGCCACAGTGTGTAGGCATTTCACCAGCCCTCCGGGGTCCCAGAGGTTCGAGTGGTGGCACTGTGTTCCCCTGACTGACAGGCCAGCTGGCAAGAAGGGGGAACGGAAAGCCAGGTTTCCCTGTGTGCTGCCTCCATCTCACTAGGGCATGTGCCCATGAAAAAGGTGAGCAAATGGCTGTGCGGAGCTTCCCCTGGCGCCACAGTTTTCCCGTGCCTGGGCAGGATCCCATGGGTAGGAGGTGGCCTGCCTTCTCTATGTGAACTGTCCTCGCCAGTTAGCCAGCTCGAAGAGCAGTTGTGCCTCTGTCTTTTGCACTCTCCCTTCAAAGCTTGTGGGCGCCCCAAAAGTCTCCCAACTCAAAAGCTGGTTCCAGCGGAAGATGCTGGCCACCAAGTGTGGGTTTGGTACCCACCCCAGGTTATCTAAAGGTTAAAAGGATTGCCAAGGGCAGGTTAGAGCCTTGAATCTGTGTGACAGGAGCTGAGTTATAGCTAACTCAATTTTAATTTTTGGTAAGGTTGTGATGAGACACTCAGCAAATTTATTTGCCAATTCAAATTGTCTTAAATAAATCTAGAAAGTAAAAATAAAATGAACAGAGAACTTCTAGAATTTTAACATCCCACAAATAAAACAATCTCTCCTTTCCCTTCATTCTCTACACATTAATTTCAAGTACATAAAATCAAAACTTCTTACTTAGCCATTTTGAAATACAAAACTCCACATTAGCCATTTTGAAATACAAAACTCCACATTTTGTGACCATAGGTCACAAAAAGGTTGTTTATAGGATAGGGCTACACTTCAAACATATACATTTTACCAACTACCTTCATAGATTCCCAGTAGGGCCTATATTTGCTGCCATCTATTCTAGCTGATAAACTGTGCTACGTTCACAAATATGATTATGCCGTTAACTTAAGAAAATGGTGAAGAAAGCACGCAAAATCACAAAAGTACATTTTGAAAATCCAAAGATGGCTGTCTGCCCTTAGGGATCCATGAAAAGAAAGAGAGCCACTGGAATTCTTTATTTTTATATAGGGGACACACAAAGGTAGGTTCCAAGAATATGTGAAAAGGACAAAGGGATAGGATTACAAAGAAACAGGTGAGTATAATTCAATTCCACCATTTGCCTTCTACTCCTGGAGACAAGGCTCATTATCCCAGCAGAGGGAAGCCAAAGTTATTGCACAGCACGATAATTCTTCAATATATCTTGCTCAGGACTTAAGGGTATATATTTCCAGAGAGCTTGCCAACATCAGGTATCTCTTTCTCCAGCTTCTAGGACACGCAGACCTTCAAGACTCTGGATTCCAAGGCAGAAAATCACAGATTTCCGACTTCGCAACTCACACACAAAAAGAAATGAGTTACAACGTAGACACCAGGACCACAAACTACCCTACGCACCCAGCACAACCACACTGCCTACATCTTCTGGATTGCTATTCCATACAACAAGCTATCCACACCAACACCTCTCACCCCTCTTCTCCAATAACTTCTGAGAAAGGCTACATTCACTGGATCCCTCCCCAATTCACACAGGTCCCACCACCTGGACTCCCAGAGGCCTCCTGTTTCAACTCAAGGATGGCTGAGCTGGAGAGCCAAGGCAGAAGACACAGCTCTGTCTCCTTACCACCACCACTAACACCCCCAACCCAGCCTCAGCAGCTGCTGAGACCTCTACTGGGACATTGACAGCCCACTTCTTAAGCCTGGAGCAGAGTGAAGCCTGGAGGACTTCCACCCAGGGTTGCACAGACAGGACAGGACAGGCTCCCCAACGACAGTGGCCTGGAGGAAGTATACTGTCAATAGAAGGAGGACAGAATATACCAGCTGCTGCCTGCCTAACCTCTCTCTACACGTGGAAACCCCCAACCAGGCCTCCTCACCCTTCCCAGGCAACCAACACACATCAAGCCAAGCCCAAGGCCCAGACCCCAGTCTGTATGTCTGACTGTCTACCTCCAGGCAGCCTCGCCCCAAAGAAGGGGCAGGTCCACAGCAAACAAGCCTCACAATGCCTCTGAGCCCCCTGAGGGGTCAAGGCCTCCAGCACCCACCTATGACCAGCTCCCAGGAAATGGCTCAGAGGAAGGCACTGGGAAAGGCACCCCCGCCTTCCCCGAAAACATCTGAGATGCCTCAGGCAACCTCCTTGCCCCGAGCGCCTCCATCCTCACTAAATTACAGGTGGCAGCAACTGAGGGACATCCCGCCGCCCCTAAAGGGGCCCACTCCCTTCCAGACTGCCCTCATGCCCTCTCTCACACTCAACCACTCGCATTCCAAATCCAGCCAGGAAAGGTGCTGGGGGGGACAGGGAACACCCCAACACCTCCTCACTTAGAACACCTCCACTATGCACACAGACACCCTGGGCCCTAGGATGGAGGGGAATGGGGGGCGGCGGGGGGGGGGGGGGGC